CAAATTATTTCACAAGACAATCAATTCTTGATACAATGTCATTGATATATATAAGAAACCGTAACTGTCCCAGAATGGAACCCTGAGGCACACCAGCTTTAATTTGAGTATAGCTAGATGTTACACCGTCCAATACGTCACGTTGCTGTCTATTAATCAGATATTTTTTAACTTGTGAACGAATGACATATTGTATATTTAATGGGAAATTAAGATGTTTATGTACATCTGGCGATTTTACGTTTATCAATGGGATATATTATTTATATATATATAATTGATATTTTTCTTCACAATTCTAATTCAACAGTAAAAAAAACACATAGACATGTTTCAGTTAAACTCACAGCATCTTAATATAGAACAAGGAAGATATAGAAATCAGCAGAGAGAACAAAGGACCTGTGTACTGTGTCAAACAAATGATCTAGGATGAATTTCACTCTATACCAGGTACATATATTAAGTCATATTACTATAGATGGCCAAGTGTGTTTAGATTGAAAAAAAAGTATCCAAAATGTATGTAACAGTCTGCCATAATGTTTGTATATATTTATTTTATCATTCTGTCATTATAACTAAAGGAACCAGTGTGTATGTAAATGCCAGTTTACTGCTAGATTACACTGTACATCAATAGTATCCGCTGTGCTGCTCAGATACATTGTGTGATGTCGATATACAACGTCACTGATATTTCAGACCAGTATGTAATTCAATTAAAATGCTAAAGTATTATCACGCTAGTCATTCAACAGTAATTAGTAATTATCACTGTAGAAAATTATAAGTATATTATATCATAATTATACAGTTATTATGTGTGCTGATAACTGTGTTATATTATTATCTTAATATTATTTTACAGTGTGTTGTTTGTTGTTGCATTTATCTAAGATAGAACATTATGTCATTACTCTAACACGAATTACTATCAAAGTAAATGTTAGATTATTTATCGTTATGTACAATAGTGTTGTACCTTCTTACTCTGTGTCACGTGCTTTAAGTAAATATTTCTTCTTTCCGATGTGCTATAAAACACAAGGAAATAAAAGAATTAAAATCACAAATTCGGAAAGTAGCTGAATCCTCGACTGATAACAAAAGATCGCCCATCCCACTTAGATCCCTACTTGTCGTTTTACATATGTATCCTTATTTGTCCGTCTATAACAGCTAAAACAACAGAACATCGTTACGTTAGTGATGTCTCATACCAGTGGGTTTGACAAATACCTGTCGGAAAGAGCACACGTTCGTCAATATCGTTCATTTTGTCTACAATGTTTAGGATACCAATCAATTCATCATTTGATACGATACAATCCGATAATGGCGATCATCTTACATTAGGGGTTTTTTCTCTAGTAATTAATTATTTTTTTCTGTTTCAATAAAATCTATATAAAGAGGAATATATCACAACAACGAAATAAAACACTTTCATGTATAATGTAGTAGTTTGCTGTATTTTTAGACGATCAAACCACCGTACATACAGTCAGTATTTGACATTAATCACTTTTTTTTTTACACTTTTCCTTGTGCTTCACGCGATATTCATAACATTTGGAAATACCATTCCATCAAGGTTATCGATTTCTCTTCTCTTTGCATCTTATGGCATTCATTGTCTTAACTATATGATATCGATACATCCTATGTTATTTGGGTGAAGGTGTCATTTACCTCGCATCACCGTCTAGGTAAGGGAGGTAATTCCTCCGAGCTTCACCCGAAGCAGTTTAATTCACGAATAAAAGATGACTATATGCTGTGGTATGTCGTTCAAATAAATACAGGGATCTCGTGCAGTGTTTTGGCTCCTCTCCGAAATTACAAATAAACATGGCGTGCAGATTTGCACTGAATTACTCTACGATAACATACTGCCTGGTCAACTGTAAAACCTCACGGGTGTGATTCCGTGATACGATCTCCGTACCAGGTAATCCATCTACATGGACCACCAAAATATAAACTGGTGACAGGTAGAATGTTTCACTTAAAAAAAAATACCCCACAAAACAATCTGAAATGATGGACAGCATAAGACACCAGCTTTGTATCTAGGCTGTGTGATTAATGACAAAAACCGCCAGTAATATTTTTGGTAAAAATTAAATATATATATGTGTGCAGGCATTCTTAAAATTATAAAATAAAACGTGGGTTGAGAAGCAATGAATAGATTTACTTTTAACATATGTATGTTACCTTTCTAAAGAGTTGCACATAGTGATACATGTGCATATTAACATTCGAATAATAATATTGTAGCACTTTCTTACTTTTCATGAAAAAAAATAAATGAAGTTTATAAAAATAGAAATTTTTGCAATGATCAATTCGTCCGGTATCATTTGAACATTCTAATGAAACTAAAAACACGTAATCTAACATATAACATATGTTCAGTATCTAAGTGTGATGTATATAGTAATGTGTTGAAATTAATTTTGATAAATGACTTAATAATTTCATTTGTTCATTTGTTGATCCAAAAATAAATAAATAAATAAACGTGATTAAAGCTTGACACAAACAAACAACGAGAAGAAATGAGAATTTAAACTATCGTAAATTTACATCCCTCCCTCAGCAGAAATATAAAACACAATGTTTCCGGTTTCTGGGTGTTCTTCGTGGAAGTTTGTTAAGGAGAAAATTGACAAGCATCATGCAGTATGCTTACCCAGTTGTATCGTCAATAAAAAAAATGTACAAAAAACAAAACAAAAACAAAAAAGCACATTATTTAGAAATAATAAAAGCGTGAAAATTTTAATGTCAATAGACGAAAAATTGATCAACAAATACATAATAGTATTGTACATGATATCCATTGAAAAGAAATACATTAATTAAAAAATAATATAGCGGAAAATGTGACGTAGACATCACAATTCATTCCACTTTTCAACTGTTATATTTTGTGTGGATAAGTTTTGCTTTAATAACGTAATCTTCATTTAATGTGTAAATAAAAGATGTGTTTTACTTAGATAATTGACAAGATGTATGCTGTACCACAAATACAGTACGGAGCCTACTCATTTAAATATATATACACGCGCGCATAAACGTGGTGTACATTGAGTTTCGTAAATTACCCTAAACACCATAAATCAATTGAAACTGCAACGCAGCTGTAGAAAAAACAACAACATAATTCGGCTTTTTTCTATGTTACATTTATATAGTTCAAAGGAAACCTATAAATCTATATGTTATCAACTGAAGTCTTTGGAAATTCCACACAAAACGCTGTTTTTGTTCCTACCAAAATAAATAAAACATCGATTTGTGAAGCTCATTCCCTTCAAAAAGTTCAATATTTCCTTTATGTGTAATCATCTTTTTGTCACACTAAGTTACAACTATGAATATCGCCTAACCTACCCAACTGTTTTATTTTCTGTAAAAAGTTTTAAGAGTGTTATGCTGAAATTCTTTATCAAAAGGCCTGCTGATTATTACGAAATCGATTATCAATAATCGTATGATTAATATTTTAAATATAATACATATTTGGATGATCGACGGACCTTTGAATAAACTATTCGTGTTCTACAAAATGGGCGTGTACTTATATAACATGCATCAGTACGGTTCATTGTCATTGCAGAAAAAAAAAGAAATAAAAAAGTGTACTGTTTATCACGGTAATGGACAGTTAATCGTAAATACAGAAAGCGACATGGCCTCAAACTCATGTCAAGTTTAATTTCTTTCATATTTAGGATTTTGACTTGACAAGTATAAATTTTGAAACGTTGGAAATACAATATTGTTTAATCCATAAAAGGACAATATTTTCACTCTTTGACTTAATTGATGGTGCCACAAAGAATATATGTAAATAGTGCTATCATACATGTATTCATAATACAATGTTTGTAGTGTCATTACATGTGTGCTCATAACGGGTGTTATCAGAGTCCGATAACAAATACTAATGTCTGTGATTTAGTATTTACGGTTTATGTATCTATTTATTAAAAGTGGTACACACTCAATAAAATTTATTTCGCTATTCCGTGTTCTAACAGGTTATATTCATTGTGTTTTTATAATTGAATTGTAACATGTCATAGAGATCTAAATAAGGAAAGTGTTTTAATATGAAGATTATTGTCCGGCGTTACTAACGAATAACCAAGGGACGACCCGAAGATGCTTACATAAATACACGTGTCTGTTATATGCGATGACGAGGCACTCTAGGGTGATAGGTAAATCTGAAATCGCTCATTCAAGAAGATTCAGTGATTACACGCATGGATAAATTATGGATCATTTCCGCCGCTTTGTATTTTGCAGCCTCCCTGACGGTAGAGTCACGCCATTGAATTAAACAAAAAATCTTTATGACATAATGGGAAATTTTATCTCTTAAGTTATGGTTTTAGTTTTATTGCTATATCCTATTTATGTATGCTTATTACCTGCGTTAAAATGTTCTTAAATGTATATTATATATAAATACATCATAAAATGAAAGTCGACAACCTATCCATACTCTGAATATGTTGTTACCAGCACGTGTAGTCTACACGTGTGTCCGAGCGTTCAAAAAAAATATTCCTCTTCAAGAGCAATGTAATTTGGAATGCTATTCCACTAAAAAGTCTGCATTAATTGTGGTTAGTAATGGCTTCTAAAAAATATTTTCCAACGACTGACTGGCAAATCACTGTGCCAAATCTAAAGAAGACAGCGCTCGTTATTTCTAATTTTCTCTAAGGAAAAGTGATTTCAAACTGTTCTGTACGGGAAAACCTTGTTGACTCTATTCAATAACAGTGACTTTTCTTATCGTGACTGAAGTATTTTCCCTAATACGTTGGCCCGCTGCACAGGTGAACAATGTGCTTATGCTTCCCGCGCTTTTCTCCTGCCAAATGTTTTCAACTACTTCCGGAATTCCGAGTTGTTGCTGCAATTACGTCACCCGGTACATTTCACCGCCATCTTTGAATAGCTCCGGAACTCAGAATTTTTACCTTGGACACAATATATACGAATGGGAGTTTACAGGTAGAAACAAGTGATGGAAAGTTTGTAGTAAACTGGGTAAGTACTCTAACACGTATTTTTTACTTATTCTGTTCGATCGTTCACTTCAAACAGTGGATTCCTTTGCTAGTTTACACCGCCGCGAAAGCAGGGCAGAGATCGCACTGTCGAAGTTTGAGGTCAACGCTTTCTCGCTATAAGCTGGCAGTTTTGTCTGTTGAATTAAATTTTACAGACGTGACTGGGTTGATATTCATATCAGGGTTCATCTTTGTGTATTTATCTTATTTTCTCACTTGTAATCTACACCAAGTATTAACCGTACATGCTGCTTGCAGAAAAAAATTGTATTTGGCCGTTGACGTTTCGCTGTCAGTGCAGTCTATGTAAACTTGAAGTTAAGAAAGTTTTTTGTCGATGAGATGCCCCAGATTTTCCCGAGAAATAACATCACAAGCAAAGGCCAGACTGAGCTAGTATTGACGTGATATATTTGATGAATGATTAAAAACCAACAATGTAGGCCTACTGATATAGATATTCTCGGACCCATTGAAGTGTATTTACGTGGTTTTGGGCAACCCATTCCGTTTTATGTTTATTTTAAACTTTTACATTGGTGTCTTCATTATAGCCTACAAGTGATGGATACAGTTCTCTAGTTGAAAGAGTTTTAATTTATTTTAGATTTATGTTTTATAAGATGTTATGGCTGTTGAATGATTTAATGATAAATGTAGGGTTTATCATGAAGAGGACCTCTCATGAATATTCGGCAGTCCTGTAAAATATTCTAGCCCAGGGCAAAACAAATTCTGTATATTAAAGAGTGTATTGTCTTTCTGAATAATATGCATCATTTGATTTATTGTTGTATTAGACCTTCAGGTCATTGCTGGAATGAGTGTTACTACTAATGAATCTGGAATTTTCATAATAACTAAAGGCCAGCAAAAGCTAATGTTATCACATATTAAGCTATTTTTTTTACTATGGATGTAAAAATTGAAGGATAGTCATGTGACGATGTTTTTTGATTTATCTGATAATAAAACACCTTTATTGAATTTGCTTCTCAACTGTGACGTGGGAGTAAGTCAAAACAATCTATGTTTTCTTTAGTATATATAGTTCATTTACTTGATTGTGTAACTGATTTTTTTAGTTAATGGATTAAACTTTCGTTTATTTTTTTAAAAGGGTTCATTATAAGAAAGATTCTTCTAACTTGCCTCTTTTAAATAACCATAAAGTTTTTATGTCAACAGCATCTATCTGGGCCAATGGGGTAGCAGATGAGATAAATTTCTCAAATACTACATTGCTTATTATTTCAGCTTGTCTTTTACTTGTCCAGTTTTGGGTATTTGACACAGAAAGTTGTAGGTTCTAGTAATCATGACACTACAGGGGTGTGTTTATCTCCTTAATCCTCTAAATAAGGGACACAATATCCCTTGTATGTGTTGGTAGTTAAGCTGTTTGAAGTTGTCCCCCTGGAAGTGTCCTTAGGGGGTTTGTGATTTGAGGGCCCTTTTATCTGGGAGTCCCTAGGGTCTTAGCTCAGGATAACATTTGGACTGTGATAAGGGGACATTCAGTTTCACAGATATTCCTTCTGATTACCAGCTTACATCTGATTAGCAAGTAGTTGGTCCCTACCTATGATAATATCTACCTAATGTGTAAAGTGTGTGCATTGTTGGAAATAATATCCTCATCCTAGGAGCTGGTATTGTATGTAATTGTTTCAACATTTTCCATGCAGCATTTTTCCCCTAATATTTGAACTGTAACATTAAATTGGTAGATCAGATGACTTGGAGTTTTTTGTTTTGTTTTAGTTTCAATCATAAAACTGTTATAAGCCTTCTATTTCTCATTATATACAGTGCACCAAACTGTAGACCTAGTGAAATATTTATTATTGAAACATTTAAGCACAAGAAAATTGAAATTCTGTTATTTGATACATGTATGAATACATACATTACGGTTGATAGATATCGGTGAAATTCTGAATATTCCGATGCTTAATAACAGATAAACCATTTAATTTTCACCTGATCAATTAGTTAGTGTATATTAACTTACAGGTAAGTAGATTACACCTGTACCTTCTATACACCTGTAGATGCTATCTTGACAAGAGACATTAGGTACAAGTACCTGGCCAATTACCTGGGAAATTTGTACCAATTGCCAAATTAATAATGGCTATATTGTTCAGTGGCACCTGGTGGGTATAGGTTTATAAATCTGTGCCAGTTTCCAAGTTGTATGCCCACTTTTAACTTGTTCAAGTTGTTCTATTTTTGGCATTTCTTTTGTCGGGTATATCCTGTCCATAAGTTAAATAGTGAAAGAGAAGTGTTTTGTACAAATTTGTTTTTACGTCTATACAATTAAAGGAAACACTAAACATTTACCTCTTTATCAACATGAAAATTGGCACGATAATTTTTTTAAGAAATTGAAAATCTGTAATACTTTTTAATGGATTCTCTATCAGGTATGTAGCTTAGCACACACTGGTTTCCTTATGGGAGCTTCTTGGTGATTTGTATCGCTGTAAACCATAGACCGCATGGTGTAGGAGAGTCAGTGTCTGCTCTATACCTCTCAAAAAATGTATATATATGTTTTCATAATTGAAAAAGTTAAGCTGGTTGGGTATGTGAATCAAGTAGGAGATTTTGATGCTGAAGTTTGACAACTTGCAGATGGATCTGATACTGTCTTATCTTGCTCCTAATGTTGACTGCGAGACTCATAGAAATATATGTCTTCTCTAGGTGAATAATTTTTTTATTTCTTTACTAGGCTCAAATTTTTTCCTTCAATAAACCCATCAGATATGTTTTGTTATTTATTTTATTAATTCCAATTTCTGTAATTTTTCAACATAATTAATTTCCATATGTGTTATTATGTTGGCCAAAGGCCTACATTTATGTGTTTTGTGAATGAATCTTATGCAATAGTTATTGTGCAAAAACAAAGGAACCCTGAGTTGGAATAACTTCAGTGATAAACATGTTTTAAGTGTTGTCATGGATGTTTTTGGTCCCTGTGTGGTACAGATCCATTGAAACTTATACACTACAACCAGATTTAAATACTGTTGTACTTGAGTACATTGTTTATTTATCAAAACATCACTGTAAAATGATAATTATGTTATTTAATGTGAAGAGTTCTATTCATTTATCATTAATTGGGGAAGTTTAAATGCCTTCAACTTTCTTTTAAAAAACATGACTTTTGCAAGTACAGAGGTACCAAGAAATATTGGATGGGTTAGAAAATGTGTACTGAGGTACAACAGGAAACATGTACACTGAATGGTCAACAATTCTCAAAGATGAAGGAAAGTTATTTCTATATTTTGATCATCACACATGTTTGTAATTACCCAAACTTTTATCATTATTGTAACTTTACAGTGATATTTCATCCCTGACAGAATTCTATCATCAGCTAGATACATGTACATTTTGTATGGTAATCAACGGAAAAAACATTTCTAGACCAAATTTGTTTTTGATTCTGTTGATGTTGTGATGGTAAATACAACTGTTATCCCATGATCACAGTCAAATTTGAATATGTAAACATATATATGATATTCTTTTGTATGATATAATAGATCGTAACTGATTCCAATTATGAAGCAATGAAATTGTTGTACCATATTAGTTCAGAGATCAATTTTTTTCTTACAAAAATCTGTCCCAGGGTGTATTACTTCATGTTACACATGTAGTACATTCATATCAAATTTTTAAAAGTGGTTGTGTGAAAAAGTTCTTGCTTTTTTTTAAACAAATGCGAAAAACAGAAGCAGTATAGGAAAGGAATTAGAGAGTGCCATAAATGAAGCACTTTTTTACTTCTCGTCCAGTAATTGATCATAGTTATTACAACAGTAGTAGACAGCCAATGTAATGAGATTACACTCATCCTGCTGTATTGTGATGTCACAATGCTTTTGCTGGTCATTCCATGTTTCAGCTATTCTCATTGGTACTGGATCTTAACAGAAACCTAATTTAAACATTGCCAAAAATATTGTTGGTTTGTTAATAATTAAAGTATTTTCTGGATATAATTATAGGTAATATATAATTGCAAGATGCTTTCTGGTAAATCTTTTTTAAACCCTGTAGCTGAGCAAGCAGGTTTCCTCGGATTTACCGGCAGTAGGTCATTTGCAAGTACAGTCGAACTCTTTTATGTTGAAATTTTCAGGGAAAGTCAAAATACTCAAAATTTACCAGTTTTCGAACTTAACAAGAATTCATCAATGACATACTGAAATGGATCAGGATAGGAATGAAGTCACATGTTATGTGTATGTCTGTGCCTTTATATGGACATGATAGTGTTTTTTCACATAATTATTGTTTTATTTGTAAAAAAAAGGCAACTTTATTTGTTAACATATTATGTCACCTGGTGCTGTGCACTTAACGTAAGTTACAGTATCCATTGGTTTAATGAATTACAAACTGGAGATGGCAAAATTTTTCTTGTAAGCTGTATTCTTATAACACAATACTTTTCAAGTTGTGATCATTTGAAGGCAAAGCTACCTTTGTTACCAACCGTAATGAATGCAGGATTGATATATTTTTTGAAACTTATTGTATTTTTTTTTGGTTACTTGTAGCATATTGTTTTTTTCCTAATGATGTCCAACCTTACAATAATTCATATCTTAGATATTTGCTAATAAAGGACTTGTCCATTTCAACTGATCTTTAATATAGAGTTTTGGAAATTACAGAGGTGCTAGAAAACCGGATTTTAAAGTTTTGTGTTAAGGTCAATCTGAAAATGCAAACTCTATTTCTAAACAAATCTGATATAGTATGGACATTCCAACCTGCTATATGAATAACTTCCAATTTATTTTTTATACGTTTTGACATGAAGAGGGTAAGGACCACAGATTTTGAGAAACTGCAGTAATAATATCAAAACAACATACATAATTGTAATGATAGTATTTATCTAATTTGCTTTATGCAGAAATTTGTGTATTTCATGAAACA